AATATTGTTAATAAATTATTTGATCTCAAAAAAAATTTGTAAATCTCATAATCTCACCCGTTTAGTTGGCGTAATTTCTCCATCATTACTCCATTTACGAACTAAGTTGGTGCCCTTTTCTTCATTAAACACCAAAAGCGGATTGCTGGAAACATCTTCAATTAATTTATTAGAGTTGTATTTTGCAACTTCTCCATATAAACTCATACTTCCAATGATATGTGCACGCTCTGCTATTATCTATTTGAAATAATTTAGTATATAATAGTGCATAATAACAACACATAAAATGGGAACACACCTTTTCGCGTTCATATATAATTCCTTCCCAATATTCTCGCAAACTCTTGTCTGAATTTTGGTTTTTACCTGATATAATATTGTTGGGAAGAATAAGTCCAGATTTTTATATTACAAGTAAAAAAATTTAAAAAATGAAAATAAAAAAAAATGAAAATGTAAGTCGCAATAATAGGGCTGGAATGAGAGCCAGTAGCTCCTACCCAGACAAGAATAGGTGGAGTTGCCACTATCATCACTCGGGTGGGGCAAGAACCAATACTTCTAATCCAGACAAGAATAGACAGAAGCTCCCTATTTACTACGAAATATATACAAATACATCACCTTTTCTTCCAAAGCTGGAAAGTTGGTTTTCTTTAGTTCCTTTGCTTCTCTCAAAAATCTACGAGACCATGTGAGGTCAAGGGTGTTCCAATCATCCGAAAAAGGATTTGAGGAAAGAATAACATCGCGGTAAAGATTTAAGAACTCAGAGTAAGACCATACTGTGTGCTCTTTTAAATAAGAGAGAAGATCTGGAGTAATTTTTATAGCAAGTTAGAAAGGGAAAAACTATTCTTCGCTTAATTCCTATCAAAAACTCACGAGTATAACCGAGATAGGGCTCGTTGTTCATGTCAGTCATGTAGGCCAAGATTTGACAGGTGGATTCGGTTTATTTTATTTATAATTGACCGACGCGTAACTTTATCGCGACTAAAAAATCACGAGACCAAAATTTCAGCGAAAGTCCGTCTTCAAAAACCATTTGTAATACACCCGAAAAAATACATGTACACTTGCTTTATTGTTACAAATAAAATATATAGGCATGTAGATGCCCGTTACATGATATAATAATAGCGGAGCTAGTGTCTCTGACACATAAAAATACAGTTAAAAGTATCTATCATTTGTTAGATTTTCGTATACAACGTTTCTTAATTTCGTGCTCATCGCACATTGTTACCCTATCCCTTAATAACCCCACAATCACTCCAATTACTTTTTTAACGCCCTTTCTGATTGATTCAATATCTTCCTCTAATGCCGTTTTGGATAAATTAATATCATAAAAAAAGATTCTCGAAAATCCGATTTAGTCATTTCAAGAAAAGCAAAGCCATCAATTTTCCGCTTGCGAAAAACGGCAAGATCCTCTTTGTCAAGGTTCAAGTCTTTCCTCTGTAAATAGTCGATAAGCTCTTCTGTCTTAAATTTTCTAACCACGTCAGCCATCGTGCGAGTTGACCTTTCTTCAGTCAAAGTAGAGGATGTGGAAGCCGGTGAGGAAGGTGAAGAAGGTGAAGACATTTTTTATATTGGTATATGGCGTAAAAAAAATCTGGTTTATGCACTGCGCTTTATGAAGTGAGATAATGTAATGTAGGAAAAGAATTTTCGTTTTTGGGTGAATTGTTGACCTTATATATTAGTTTGATTTGCGAAAAGTTACACTAGAGAAGTCAGAAGGTATAGATCTCACTGATTATGGAGATTGCGGAGATTCCAAAGCTACATATGAAACAGTTTTTGATCAAAAATCTGATAAGGGACGGTGAACTCTTCCAATTATATCGTTTTCAAGTTTTATTTGCGTTGGTTCTCATTATGAGCAGGAAATTTTCTATTTATATAGCAGAAAAATAGGGATAATCTATGTTGTACCAACTTTTATGCAGATTCCCGTTTCGTAGACCTTAAAACACATGACATCGCTCAATTACACATGTTTCATGAATTTCTATGTCGATTCAGGTGCCAAGTATTTAGATAATACCGATCCTGAGCATGTTTCATAAATGATCCGCCTGGTCGATAGAGCCACCCAATCACTGCATGCTGGATAATTTTAGCGGAATTAATTTGTTTTCTCCATAAACAATAAGTCCGCTGGATAATTTTAGCGGAATTAATTTGTTTTTCCATAAACGATAAGTCCGCTGGATAATTAATGATGCACGATTTTCTTTATGCAATGCTAGTTGAACTTTAAAATCCCTATATTTAGGGTCATTA